AACGTTATAAATAATAATATTAAGAGATTTAATATATATATCTATCTAGTATAGTCTAAGTATATCTTATATATAAGAAATAATTATATTTATTAACTAGCGAGTAATTTAAAAGAATTTTTTATTATTAATAATTTAAAGAATTAGATTATAGTTAATATAGAGAATATTAATAATAATTATAGAATTAAAATAAATATTATTCTTATTCTTTAATAAAAATTTAAAACGTTTTAAAAATTAAGAGTATTTTTAATAAAGTATATAGAACTTAATAATTTATTTAAGTATATAACGATATTTTAAGTTATTATATCTAGCTTTCTTTAGAATATAGATAAGTCTATTAATTAAGAGATAATTAAATCGATAATATAATTAATATAACTCGATATGAATTAGATAATTAATTAATATAAAATTCTATATTAAGAATAAGTATTTATAAAAACGAATAATTAAGATCGTAGATTTTTTTTTTAAAATAACTTAATTTTTAAGATTATTTAAATAGATCTCTAGTTCATCTATTTTCTAAATATATAATAAAAATAAGATATTAATTTATACGAGTAAATATCTATAAATTAAATTCATAATCATTTTTTTTAATTAGAGCTGTCGAGTAAATTTAGTAAGCGATCTTTAATAAGCGAACTTTAATAAATGATATTTAAGCTCCTTACTTCTTAATAATTATAAGATCGAATTTTATAATTCTTTTAGCATTAAATAGCGTAAATTACTCTCTATATTTTAAAAAAGAAATCTTAAAATTTTAATAGAAAATAAAAAAGTTATTTTATTTATAAATAACGTATTTTCAATTTTTAATAAGAAGACGCGAAAGAATTATCGAGCTAACTTAGTCGATCTAATTAAAGAGCGTAGCGAACTCGAATTTATAATTAACTATATATATAAATTTAAGATTTTTTAACTTAGCTCTATCTTATTCTTTTATATATATAAGTAAAGACCTATAAATTAAATTTATAAAGTTAAATTTTTCTAAGTTAAATCGAATTTTAGCTTTAGCTCTAAGTTAAATCGAACTCTAATTGCTTACTACGCGTTTTTAATCTACTTTCATTACTATAAAATTAATTTAATCTATATAGTCTATAGATATATATATATGAAGAGAGGCGCGCTAAGGTCTAATTAGAAAGGTATAGTATAGAGAATTAATTTATAATAATTATCTATAAAAAATAGAGAAAGGTTATATTCTTATAGTAAGAAGTATCGAAATATTGAAAAGAAATAAAGATAACGTGCTAATTAGTAATGTGGATCTTATAATATCTTCTATCGTAGTAAAATCTTTCGAATAATAAAATAGCTATTAAAGCAATTCGTTTAAATATATATCATTTAATATTTCTTCTATAGAGACTTAATTAACTATAATCGTCGTAGTAGATTCTTCTCTTATAACGTTATTATAATAATATATCATATTAATATAGTAGAGATAATAGATTAAGTTACAGTGATATTCTCCGCTTGCTAAGTAATAATTTAATATGAAATCGTGGAGAGTATATGACGTGGGATCTTGGAGAGCTAAGCCGTGTTCTTGATGCTAAGGGCCTTATTGCCGCTTAATTTCTTCGTAGTATTCTCCGTAGTGTTCTCCGCAGTGTTCTCCGCATTTGCCTATTATAGTTTCTTCTCTTACGATGTTATTAATATAGTAAGAATAATAGATTAAGTTATAGTAGTATTCTTTACTTACTAAGTAATAATTTAATATAAAATCGTAGAGAGTATATAACGTGGGATCTTAGAGAGCTAAGTCGTATTCTTAATACTAAGAGTCTTATTACCGCTTAGTTTTTTCGTAATATTCTCTATAGTATTCTCCGCAGTATTCTTTATATTTATTTATTATAATTTCTTCTTTTACTTCTTAATATAGTAAGAATAATAGACTAAGTTATAGTAATATTCTTCGCTTACTAAATAATAATTTAATATAAAATCGTAGAGAGTATATAACGTAGAATCTTAAAGAGTTAAGTTGTATTCTTAATACTAAAAACTTTATTATTACTTAATTTCTTTATAATATTCTTTATATTCGCTTATTATATTAACTTCTCTTATACTAATTAAGTAAATTAATATAAGATCGTAGAGAGTAAATCTATTATATTATTACTACTAATAACTATCTCCGTAATATTCTCCGCAGTCTTCTTCGTATTCGCTTATTATAAATTCTTCTCTTATTTAATTAAGTATAAGAATATCGAGAGTAAATATATTTATATTAATGAAATTAATAGAATTAATAGAATTAATAGAATTAATAGAATTAATAGAATTAATAGAATTAATAGAATTAATAAAATAATAAAAGAAGAATAGTTATATAAATAGATAGAAGAATTATTATTCGATTCTAGACGCGTTTAATATAACTATAATATTTAAATATTAATTTAATCTATCTATCGCTAGCTTAAAAGAAGTATATAGAAGAGAATATATTCATTCGAGCTCTTTTTAAGAGTCTTTTAACGCGTTTATAAGTAGTAATAAATAGCTATTAAACTCGCTTACGACCTTAATTATTAGTAATAGCGAATTCGCCTAAAGATAATCTAAGGGCGTTAGTAAAGGCTTTAAGAGGCGGGTAAAAGAGGTATATATATCTAAACTGAACGCGTTTAGTATAACTATAATATTTGAATATTAGTTTAATTCATTTATCGCTAACTTAGAAGGAGTATATAGAAGAGAACGTATTCGTTCGAGAGAATATATTCGTTTAAGCTCTTTTTAAGAGTCTTTTAACGCGTTTATAAGTAGTAGTAGATAGCTATTAAGCTCGCTTACGACCTCGATTACTAATAGTAATAAATTCGCCGAGAGATAATTTAAGAGTATTAGTAGAAGCTCTAAGAGGCGAGTAAAAGGGGTATATATATCTAAAGTAACCTTTAAGCGAGGGATATCGAAGACGTTAATGAAATTAGTAGAATTAATAGAATAATAAAAAAAAAAAAAAATTATATAAATAGATAAAAGAATTATTATTTAATCTCGAACGCGTTTAATATAACTATAATATTTAAATATTAATTTAATTTATTAATAGTAGATTAAACTTTATTATTTTTATAGCGTTAGAAAGCGTAAAGCGAGCTCTATAATTTAAGAAATTATAAAGTAATTATATTTATTATAAGCTAAGTACCTTAAAGTATAAGACTTCTATATACAAATTTTTAATAAGAAGACGCGAAAGAGCTATTAAGCTAACTTAGTCGATCTAACTAAAGAGCGTAGTAATCTTAAATTAATAATTAACTATATATATAAATTCAAGATTTTATAGTTCAGTCCTATCTTATTCTTTTATATATATTAATTAATAAGTTAGTCGATTTAATTAAAGAGCGTAGCGAACTTAAATTTATAATTAGCTATATATATAAATTTAAGATTTTTAAACTTAGCTCTATCTTATTCTTTTATATATATTAATTATATAAAAGTCGATTCGACTAATAAACGAATCTATTATAAGTTTTCTAATTAATAATAATATTTTAATCTTAAGTTAGATAATAGTATTATTAATAATAATATTTAACTATATATCGAATTTTCTTATATAAACTTTTACTTAATTATATCTAGTAATAAATATATATATAACTTTAATATCTAATATAATATTATAAAACTATTTTAAGATATATTAATTAATACTAAGAAAGCTATTAGATTTAATAATATTATAATATATAGAATAGCTAAAAAGCTTTAAATAATATATTTAAACTTAACTTAATATAATTATAAAAATAATTATAATAAAGTTTTTAACTTTCTTTAAATTAGTCTTTTAAATATCGAGAGTTAAGATCTTAAAATCCTCGATTTTATTCTTTTAACCTTTAAACTTTTAAATATAGAAGTTATATCGCTTATTAATAAAGTCGATAAACCGCTTAGCGAACTTATTTTAAAACTTTTAATATTTCTTATCGATATACTTAATTAATTAGTAATATATTCTTTTATAAATAAAGTATTACTTTTTCTAGAAATCGATTATCTATAAAAGTAATTTACTATAATTATTTTAATTTTAAGATTAATTAATATAATACTTTCGATTAATAAAGTATATTATAAGCTCGAATAGTTTAAATCTTCTAATCTTTATTAAGTTTTTTTATAATTCTTAATTATAATATAGATATTATTAATTAGTCTTATAATTATAATTATTTATTATAAGATTATAATACTATATATAGAGATATTACTATAAAAATTAACAATTTTATTTTAAAATACTATATCTAATTAAAATTCGTAATTTAATTCTCTTTAGACTTAACGAAGTTATTAAATTATTTTATTAAAAATAATTTTTTTATTCTTTTTAAGATTAACTTAAAGTAAGTTTTTTAAATTAATATTATTTTACTTATTAGTATATATAAAAGAATAAGATAGAATTAAATTAGAAAATCTTAAATTTATATATATAGTATCATAAATTCGAGGTTATTACGTCTTTTAACTAGATCGACTAAGTTACCGCGAATAAATGGATAATATCATCATATTGATATGTTGAGTACGGGTCACGACTAAGGTAGCGAAGGCGTGGTTGCCAAAAGGTTGTCGAACGGGCCTGGGTGAGTAAGGTTCCTTAGTGCTAGCACCGCCGTAATTAGAGTACAACGGGCTCGAAGTGTATCTTACTCCAACTACGACAACTATCAAAACCCTCTGTTGTAGATGTCCTTCCTATCGATCATTGCATAATGAGACGTTTGTCGCTGGAACTTTCCAAGAGTATCCGTGTCTCTCAAACACCCAGTCACGTGAGCGGTAATGGCGTCACTACGCACCGTTTCTCCGACAGCGGGGAGACCTTGTCGGTTACCACCAACGTCAATCCACATTGCACCCTCACAATGTTTAGTCTCCTTTAGCGACATGCCACTCATACTTACCCAACTGCAACCATGTCTGAGGCCGAGGTAGAAGAGCCAACGTTCTCCTCTCTTCCAGAGGAAGCTATTTCCGCAGCACCGCCTGCAGAAAATGACGCACAAGAAGCCGAATCCGCCGCAAATGACCTTCCCGTCCCTTACACGACCTTCACTAAAGCCCACAAACGTCTCATTACTGTCATTCTAACATCCACAATGCTCGCATCGCCGCTAACCGCTACGATATACCTACCTCTGCTGCCCTTGTTAGCTACGCATTTCCACGTCTCGACCCAAGCAATCAATCTCACAATCACACTTTACATAGTCTTCCAAGCAATCTCTCCGCTGCTCTTCGCGACGGCTTCGGACAGCTTCGGGAGAAGGCCGGTCATCCTGCTCACGTACGCGGTCTACACGGCTGCATCGCTAGGGCTGGCGTTAAACAAAAGCAGCTATGCCGCTCTACTAATCCTGCGCGCAGTGCAAAGTCTCGGCGCATCGGCAGTCTTGGCCATCGCCTACGGCGTCATCGCAGACGTCTGTCCGCCGGCTGAGAGGGGAGGCATGCAAGGTCCTACGATGGGAGCGGCGAACTTAGCGGTTTGTCTAGGACCAGTGATTGGGGGGCTGGTGGCCCTGGGGAGTGGGAGTTACGAGTGGGTTTTCTGGGCACTAGTAATCTTTGGGGGAAGTGTATTCTTTTTCGTTGGGGCTGGACTTCCGGAGACGGCCAGGAGTATCGTTGGAAATGGGACTGTCGAGGCTACGGGGTGGGGGAGAAGCTGGTGGAATCTCCTACGAGGAAGGAGCAAGCGGAAAGTTGATGCTGTGGAGATGGAAAATAGCAGTGAGGCCATGGGTGAGAAAAATGGAGGAGCAAAGATAGGGCCCGGAAAAAAAGCCAAATTCAAGATGGCCAACCCAATGGCTGCAATTCGTATCCTATTCTGGAAAGATACGGCACTGGTCCTCTGGATGGCAGGTTCGCCTTATGCAGTCTGGTACGCCGTCCAAGCATCTATCCCGTCTATCTACAAAGACATCTACCATTTCAACGAGCTGCAAATCGGTCTCTCATACCTCACAGGAGGCTTTGGTACCGTAAGTGGTGGCTACTTGAATGGTAAGTTGATGGACTGGAATTACAGAGCCACGGCTAGATCGATCGGCCACACAATCGATAAGGTCTCTGGGGACGATCTGAAAGGTTTTCCAATCGAGAGCGCCAGGGCTAGAGGGTCTTACTACCTCCTAGCAATATACATAACGGCGCTTGCGGGTTATGGATGGTCTGTCCAAGCGCGTGCACATGAGGCCGTGCCGTTGATCCTGCAGTATGTGCTGGCGGCACTGTGCACGAGTTTCCAACAGACGTTCAATGCGCTGTTAGTGGACATATTCCCGGCGAGTCCGAGTACGGCGGCCGCGAGTGGAAATATTACGAGGTGCGCACTTTCCGCCATTGTTGTGGCAATATTGCAGCCGCTGGTGAACGTCATGGGGAGGGGATGGTTTTTTACGGCACTGACAGTGCTGAGCGGGGGTGGCGGTCTGGTGGCGGATTGGCTGGTGAAGAACAAAGGGATGCAGTGGAGAAGAGAGAGGATTGAGAAGGCCGGTAAAGCAAAAACAGAGCGGGGCGACGGCGAGATGAAGAGAGAGCCTGGAGCTTTCGGTAACCCAGATTCCAAGACCATCCGATGACCAGGAGAAGCTTGTGCAGGGCCACTGCTAGATGGAACCTCGGCTCTGTCCATTACATACAACATGCATGCCTACTGCCCGCACTTTGGTCCTAAAAGAATTCCGGAATCTTTCCAGACAGGGCTTCCTATCTTCATTCTTTGATAATTCGGCTTTAGACCCTTAGACAGACGGCCCTAGTTCGCACACCCGGAGGATTCCCCACGAGCTCCAAATCAGACAGAATGTACCAACCTAGTATCAAATGATGGAATCTATACCTCAGCTATGGACTAACCCTCTTGTGGCTCGGACAACTTCGCATACTCGGAAGCGACTCGACGGTCTGCTTCAGCGCTGAGGATATGCGCCTTTGCGGCTGCTTCTAGCGCAGCTACAATGCCACTAGAAGAGCTTCGATCAGCGGTGTTCTGAGATTGCGATGCTGTATGAATGCTTTCGATTGGCGCTGCTGCATTGTTTGCCGATGCGCCTTCTTCTAGCTGAGGAGGCCCCTCGCCATCTCTGTGACGAGCGACATGATCTCTGGTGTGTTTGACTGATCGGTGCAACCTGGCCCTGAATCGATCTTGAAGCAGCAGGTCCTCAATAGTTTTTATCACGCCCGCGAACGAGAAGAAAAGTTCACAATATCCAGTGCTCACGATGTAAGCAATGAATATGTTGCGGCTGTTAATTTTGCCAGCATCTGTATCCAGATTTCTTGTCCATACGAAGCCTTGATAGATGGCCAGGCCTAAAATGAACGCAAAAATAGCATCAAACAACCTTAGACCGCATTTGCAAGGCATGGACGCAAACACAAAGAAACCCGTCTTGTATGTTTCATGGTCTAGCTAAAGTGGGCATAATCTGGTAGTATTCCTTCCTCGTCAGCTCCATTCCCTACCCCTAACATGATTCTGAGCTTGCCCGGTTTCGTCGTATCCGGCTTTGGAGCAGTGTTTCCAAAGCCACCTTGAACGGATTCAAACATTTGTTACGGGGAGCGAGAACTTCTCTTTAGATGCCAGCCTCGCTTGACGCGGTTACCATCAATTCTATTGCCCGGCAAGGCTACAGTTTTCCTGTTGGCCCTGGCTGAAAGCCCACCTGCAATGATCAAAAAGCCATATTAGGAGTTTAGACAGTGTCTGATTGTGGATTGGAAACCATAAAAGTATAAAGCAGCATTTTATGGTATCTTTTGTCTATGCAGTAAGTTCTGCTGTCCTCTACAAAATACTTATGCTAGCAAAAGCCGTCTACTGCTATCTTGAGCCTTGTAGCCCTAGCGCGTATGGGACACAGGAGACAGCTTCCAGGTATCGAGCCTCGGTGCCAGCCGACGGCCCTCTCTGTAGCCACCCATTGGCTACCCACCTCAAACATCCCATAGAAAATCCGCCGTTTTCCTCCCTAGACAACACGTTAGCATGAGAACAGCTTATCATATACGATCCGTGTGCTCTTAACCTTGAATGTCTCACGAATAGCATTCTTTGCAAGATTGACATTGGCCGAAGTATTGAGCAGAAAGTCATGCCTGTCATACTGATCCGCCTGTTTCAAGAGATACTCCACCCTTTGTCTTCCGCAACTAAAGGCATCATCGCGATTATCGTGGACATGGGCAGCTGCAATATCCTTCGGATCACCGCAGTGAACAGCCGTCATCTTCTCGAGGATCTCAGTGCAAGCCATGAAGACTTCGAATCAGTTGACTCTGGGCACGGGCAACTTGCCCTCCCATTCCGGGCGTACGATGGGTTCGAGAGGTTCCAGCGCACAGACGATTGGATGAGCGGCAATTTGCCGCGCGGTCTTCTCGACTCCTTTGTTGGTAGCTCTGCTGCACTTATCCACCCCCCGCCACACGGGCGCCCATCGGTAGCAAAAAGGTCGAAAACCGCAGTCATTCAATCCAGTCATTACCGAGAGACTGTGTGGAGAAAGCCGATTGTAAAAAAATTTGGGCAACCCAAACCTGAATGTCCGCGTTTTCTTATCGAAATCAAGGGTCATTCCTTGGAAAGCTGTGAATTGGGAGAAGAAATTGAAGGTAGGACGAGGGCCACGAAAGATGTCGTGGCCGATGTGTTGGCAGAGATGCTCCAGCAGAACACTCTCCTCTTCGATAATGTCAATTTGTCTGAGGAGGTTGTATAGGTGTAGAGTGGTTCCAACACATTGCGTGAGGTTACAAAAACGAGTCCCGAGATCGGTAGCTCTAGCAAGAATTCTTGTCATCTGATGGCCCGCAACCACCGGGGACTGATCATACAAATCGAATCGCTTTTCGCTTGTGAGTATAGACAAGTCGGTTTCAAACCTTCGCAGGGTCTCCATAAGACCGGCATCAAGGCAATTTTCGCGATCGCAGTCCGATTTTGGCGCAAAGGGTTCCGAAAGACGAAAGCGTACCACACTCTTGTGAACATCTTGAGCAGATTTAAGAGCGTGTAGACGTGGGTTGCACACAATTCGCCCTCCCCTGATCGATCCCTTGCTGGCATAGAACGATGGTCATGACAGGATGTGTGAAGGTATCTATGGCAACAGGATCCGAAAACGTCGCTGCTCCGGGTATGCCGAGTGTTGATGACTTGTACTTCTCGACTATATCGAGTATCTCTGTGCATCTGATTAATTCACACGTATCGGAGAATCGTCGTCCACAGTGGAAGCGAGTTGCCATATTAGCCATGGCAGCGTTGGTGAGAAAGGCCGCGAGTATGAACGGCATCTTACTTCCTGCAGCATCGGTCCAGTATGTCCTGACCTTTGAGCAAGTCGTTTCGAGATCCTGAAGAACGGGTCAGTTCGGACGGACACTTCCCTCAAAAAGGCGGAACGAACCCAAAGCACAAAACACAACTCAAGATCTTGAACAAATACATCGTCCTTGATGCCGTCATCTCCAGCGTCGTCTCGTCCATCTTTCGAGTGCTCGTAGTGTGCCTCATCGGCCTCATTATCTTCGTTCCCGCTTGCACTGGGTGAGTCGCTCTCTATTTGCAGATTACTGAGTGTCTCGAAGGGATTCGGATCTGGCGTGCTCGTAGAACTTGTCTCTTTTGCCTTCGAGGATGAGAATCCGTCAGAGCACAGAGACTCGAAGATGGCTTTAGGTCCTTTCAGATGTCAGCGAGCCTGGTAAACCTTTCTGAAGGGGTAGAAATTGACGATTTGGTGAAATTTTCATGAGACAAGTTGTTGGCCTTAGCCGTCTTTGTGCCAAAGAAACCTTTGAAGTGACTCGTCACCTCAGAGCGAGCCGCGATAGCCTTGTCGAAGGCATAGTAGATCAGGACCTTGATACGCTTATCCTTGATGGAACTTGCTGCTTGTTGCATATGTCAGCGTGTCTAGTTCCTTCATGTTCTATGCATACGTCCCTTCTACATCCTTCCATACATATTTTATCATTGTTCCTTTCATATAGCTAGCTATAGATAGCAGTACTTTATTCTTCATCAGCTACATAATAGCTGATAGCCCCACCACTGAATCTACATACATTCTACATCATCACCGTTATACCTCGCTAAGAGGTTATAAGCCTGAGTTAATGCCGATAATAGACTGATATCGCATCAAATCTCACTATCGTCCCCTTTATTAAGCCTGACGAACCACAAACTTGCAAGATTTATTTTATTCATTTCGAATAGAAAAAAAGGATTCATAAAGATAACAAATTTATAACAAGGTCGTTAGAGGAGGATTTTTTTAATAGAATATTAGAAGCCAGTGTCAGAAGCCAGTACCAGAAGCCAGTGCCAGAGATACCCGATGCCTATATTCGATACCCGTAGTAGACGCCAATAGATCTTAAACGAAGTCCATAAAGCTCTCTACGGAGGCATTCGATAAGATAGTTAGGGAAGAACTCGACAGTTTAGAAAGATATTAGATACCAGTGTTAGATGCCAATACCAGAGTCAATAAGATACCCATACTCGATATCAATACCAGAAACCCATACATTTCGGAGTCGAATCAGTCACTCGATATACCTTACAGCAAGCCGCCCATCAAGCCCTACACAATAGACACCCACATCACTTTAAAACAACTACTCACCTACCCCAAAGAACGACCCTATAAAAAATAAGTACATAAAGATACCTAGAACGATCTGAATAATTCGAAGGATCCTAAACGAATATCATTAAACTAAGAAAGTCAAGAAGGAGTATAAACACCAAAAAAAAACTAGAGCGATCCCGAGGACACCCAGAACAATCAGAGCGATTCGAAGGACCCTAGACCAGAGCACTAGAATAATACATAATTTTAGCGTTAAAATAGAGGTATTTAAATATCACTAGACAGGGGGAGTGTCAGCGTATCTAGTTCCTTCATATTCTATACATGCGTCCCTTCTACATCCTTTTATATATATTTTATTATTATTTCTTTCATATAGCTAGCCATAGATAGCAGTGCTTTGTTCTTTATCAGCTACATAATAGCTGATGGCCCCACCACTGAATCCACATGCATTCTACATTATCACCGTTGTGCCTCGCTGAGAGCATATCAGATATTATCAATCTGGCCTTGATATCGCTTCTATCGGAAGTGACAGCTAGCCATCTCTCAACCACCGTGGTGGCTTTCTTGTATGATAGAATGACCTCGTAGAGATCTGGCGTCAGCTTTGATCAAAGAGAGGCGGCATGGTACTGGTGTAGACATTGATCGTAAGGTGTAAAGGCGAAAAGAGGTAGGCATGATGAGGTGAGGTTAGTCGTAAGCAAAGGCCAAGTGAGTGAATGATCACGCGCCTGTTGACGAAAGAAGCGAGGAGTTTATGAAGCACAAAAGCTGCGGTATTTCCAGTCGGCTGAAACGCATGCATACATTCTAGCAAATACTGTTCTATCATACAACCATGTCCATTGTCAAAATGCGAATCCTAAGATTCTGCACTAGCCTCCATCATCCTGTCGTACAGAAAACCTTCGCTCCCAGCATCCGATCTCATGAGTGGCATATCCCACAACTTCCATCCTTGCTTTTTGCGCGTTTGCAACTGCCATTCCAGCATGGGCAAAATCCCGCTGGAATTCTTCCACCGCTCTTCATACTCCGCGAGCTCAGGATTCCAGCCACCTGTTTGGATCTCGTACATTTGCTCTTGGATGTCGGAAGTCGTGCCTCGTATCTGGCGTCTATTGTTGTCGATCATCTGGGAGAGGACTGCTGGTGGCATGGCGTCCAAATAGTCTCTGGTCTTTTTCTCGGCTTCCACGCGTTCTTGCTGGCGATGATATCGTTCGTGATCGGTTTCTGAAGGGCCCTGTATATGCTTCGCACAAATGTTCTGATCCATGTTTCCTCCATGTGTACCCCTTGTCGCTTTGAAAGCTCGGCTTGAGCGCTCCACTAAGCCCCATGGATTGTCCCAATCCGAAGTTTGCGGGCCGTCATAAAGTATGAGGGATCTGAGATTCTGCTCATTACCACCATGTTCGATCACATGACGAAACGCATGTTCGACCGCTGCTAGGGAAGACTTGTGTTTTTCATAACCTTGGGGTTTCTGAGTATGTAGTGTTATTTCTGCTAATTGTGGGATCTGGCTGAGAGCGGAAAGATGATCCTGTGACTCAGTATCGTCAGTAGGAGCTCAGATTACATATTAGGTCTGGAGACTTGCCGGGTTATCAGGAGGCCAACGGAGGTTCAACGCCAAGTTGGTCAACCCTGGACAGTGGCGTTGGATAGCCTGTAGAAGACAAAGCGGAACATCTTGCATATTTATCCAATTGTCTAAAGCGTCTCGGTGGGGATGGATCGCAAGCGTTTCCAACGAAGGTCCGCAGATCATTAAGGCTGAGAATGGAAGTCGAGACTCTTCGGTCTTTATCTTCAATTCCGTGAGTCTGATGGTTCGCGAGCATATTGATACGAGAGCATTCTCATTTCCTGCTTTCGTGTGGAGGAGACTGATTGATCGCAAGGATTGCTCGCAGCCTTGGAAACCGTACAGGAGGCGGTCATCCCAGAGTGTGATCTTAATCAACTTTGTCCAACCTCCTTTTGCTCCCCACTTCAACAGATCGTCTACCTCAAAAGTTCTGTCTGCGATCGTAAGTTCCGCGAGTTGAGGTAGAAGAAACTCAGGCTTCAAATCATGCCATGGTTCCGATGCTCCAAGGCCGCGATTATTCCTGTAAACATTGGGATCATACGTAGTAAGGCTGTGTAAACCTGGACAACTTCTTAGTGCCCACAAAAGCTTGCTCTTTGCCACACGGGCCTCTTTTCCGACTCTGTCATATGGATAGTTGGGCATGCAGACATGGAGCGAACGTAGCATGTTTGGAGCTAGCCTGAGGACTTTCCAATCCTTTTTGATGTCGCACTTGGAAAAGCTTGTACGCATGTCTAGGTGAGCTTTTGGCCAGTGCTGACCGAGGCTTGTGAGCAGACTCGGTGGAAAAGATCCGTCGCAATTCCAGGAAAACGAACTTAGCTGACGGAGTTTGGGGAGCCAGCCTATCAATAGCTCTAGAGCACCTGGATGAACTCCGTCACGGCCAAAAACATGAATGTTTCTCACCAAAGCAAGGACCGCGGGTCCAGCAGAGAGCCGTGAGATAAGCGTGCTGAGAGGCCGTTTGGTAGGCGTGTGGTCCTCCACGTGGGGGTGAGGGTAGGTACAGCCAGAGATGTCAATATAGATAGTCTGATAGGTCAGCGGTGTCACTATTCTGTAGAAATGGCGCGACACCAGCGCAACCGGAAGCAAGTTCAGGAGACCGTCAGCGCGCAGCTTTTTGGTATTAGCTAAGCCAATCATCGCTTTGAGTGTCCTCATACCTTCATGAAGATCTCAATCAACAGCTCGACGGGCATTCGTATTATTTCCATCGTGACTACCTAGAGGTTGATGAGTCCCTTGTGAATCCTGGAATCTTGGAGTGCTGATGTCAGGAAGATTCATGCGGATAGAAAAAGACCTCGAAGAGGAGCTGTGAAGGTTCAAGGAAAAACCACAACCGTGGTGAGTGGTGTAACAAAGAAGGAAGAGTTCTATGGGTGGAACGGACAGTGGTTGGTGGTGTTAGATTCAATCAGCGATGGTGTTGGAGATTGGAAAATAAAATAAGGTGTTTACGAACCTACTTGATGGCGCTAGGCGAAACAAAATAGATGTGTTTTAGCTTCAGCTTGAAACACTCTCAAATTGATATGCGGGTGAGCCCAGTTCTGTGGATGAATTCTTTTGAGCTCCTCCGAATAAATTTCTCTATTTCTGCTGCGATACTGTTTATCCATGTGCAAGGGGTGCGGCATAGTACTACTTCATGAGACTACTCCTAGGGGACATCTTTGTGGCATCTCTCTTGCATAAGATTAGATCATAAATCCAGCTGTAGAAACAGCCATCTACAGAAAAGCGTACTATTTAGTATCGAGTTCTCAAAGAATTTAAGCAGCTAACTCTTTTACATCTATGAAATACCATTACCAGCGACAACAGCGAGGATCTCCAGTCGTGCGAAAGAGGTTGCCAAGGCGCGGCTGAGTCGCTCTCGTGTTGCATGAGGGTCGACAATCTGCGCCCGGCAGAGAGAGCAGTGGTTGCCGAAACTGGCCGACAGCATCCACCGAGCGAGGCATTTGGAAACCAATTATGTGACCGCAGGGCAGTGCCACTGGACGATGTAATATCCCACCAACTTCCCCCCCTTGTTTCTGTACCGCTCCTTGCAGACGCCGCATTCTTCTTACTCGAGGGAAGGAGTAAGCTCGACAGTTGGGATGTTGCAAAGGAACTGGAATTCGACAATGTTCCTTTCAAGCTTTGCGTTGATAGATGCTGGCATGATAGTAATACTTAGGTAGGGACGTAGATACTATCCTGAGGTCGTAAGAAGATGGTATTTACCCAATATCGTGGCTCTGAAGAACTTCATAGTATGGAAGGGAAGGGGACTAGGCGCTAGAAAAGTTCTTACAGTGATCATTCAACTGGAGTGTCATCAATGAAACGTTTCAGCTGTCGGATACACAGGAGAAGCCAAGATCAACCGGATTTTCAGCACATTGAAAAGGCCCAAGGATGCTTAACACAGGCAATGAACAATGAGACTCTCAGCGCATCCCTCGAAGTCACTTCTCGCTCGTGATTTGTCACTGATGCGATCGCCCATCTCGCATATTAGTCTCCCTTTTTGCGCCTACCACAACTTGCGTTTCCTAAGCTGGTAAGTGAGGCCTTCGGGAGAAATCTTGCCGATATCTAAGTGCCTCACCAACCTTTCAACCAACGCAGGATGCGAGTCACTGTCTGATTCACTGTCGTTCAGGCCAAGACCTCTCCTAATACACCAGAATTGAGCCGTACTCGTCCGGCTCTGCATTCGCCCTCACGACCTAGCATCTTGGTTCACGCTTACTTTGTCAATTCGCGATACGTTGGCCGTCAGCTGCGACGGTCGCCGAGAGGCTAGAGCTCTGCTCTTCTTAATCATTCCATGCATGCACATCTGTGGCATTCTCGTAGACAGCTTGGGCAGTGATCCTCTTCATCGTTGTCTTCATCGAGACATCTGGTCACGGTGTGCTCCATCTTTGCCAAAAAGAAAGCAGGAACCACCAGTCTGCCGGCCAAATCAGTTGACTAGGTGCTGTGCCAAGGTGAGGTGCTATCTCTTGTTCCCACCTCCCCAAACAATCGTCTAGATCTCACTCGCTATGCATCATTCCAACGCGCAGCTGATGCAATACTCCCAGACTCAGTTAGTACAAGCTTCTTGACCAGCACGAAGCACTAGACAGCCTCTCTGTAGCATCTGGGTCAATCCCCCATCACCAGCGACGTAATACTGGAGACGCCAGAATGAGCGTAGAGCGTCAGCGCACTCGAACTCCAACTTAAACTCCAACTCGGTCACGTGTGAGGAGCTGGGGGAACCTAATGCCGTGTTCGCGATTAAAATGGAGCGGTGAGGAGGATCCAGATGGTTTCGGATGTGAGTTGGATACCCATTGTACCGCTCGCCGGGCTTTCTCCGACGCGAAACCCAGTCTCGCTATCAAAAGCCAGTGTGGTGCAGACTGGGATTTACTAGCCTACGCTCATGAACTCCGAGCCATAATATGGGAGCACGTGTCTCATGCTGCTGTAGAGATACAAATGTTTGAGAGCGCTTTCATCGTTGATTCGTTAGATATGCTATCTTCATCCAAGCTTGTATTCTACCCCCGGAACGCCAATGAGCCCAGACTGTACCCTCGCCCCTTGATAATCAGATACGACCTCAACTGTCTCTCCAGCCTGCCAGTGTATCGATTGAAGAAATCGTGTGAGGATGATTTGCCCCTAGATTCTTTGTCCTTAGCTCCACAGCTTGCTCCATCAATGTGATTGCTTCGTTGTGACGATTGAGACTGCGATAAGTATAGGCAAGGTTGTTTATGGCGATCAGTGTATCTGGATGTTCGGCTCCCAATACTCTTCTCTTCATCTCTAGCACCTGCACTTCAAGTTCTTCCGCCTGAGTCCATCGTCCTTGATTAAAATACGTCGATGCCAGATTGTTCATGGTGGTCAGCGTGTCTGGATGCTCGGCTCCCGATACTCTTCTCCTCGTCTCTAGCACCTGCACGTTCAGTGCCTCCGCCTCAATCCACCGGCCTTGGCTTGAATACATCAATGCCAGATTGTCCATGGTGGTCAGCGTACCTGGATGCTCGACTCCTAATACTCTTTTACGTATCTCTAGCACCTGCACATCAAGTTCCTCCGCCTGAGTCCACCGTCCTTGATCCCCATACGTCGATGCCAGATTGTTCATAGTGATCAGCGTGTCTGGATGCTCGACTCCGAATACTCTTGTACGTATCTCTAGCACCTGCACTTCAAGTGCCTCCGCCTTACTCCACCGACCTTGTTCCTGATACGTCAATGCCAGATTGCCCATGGTGAACAGCGTGTTTTGATGCTCGGCTCCTGATACTCTTTTTCTTATCTCTAGCACCTGTATATTCAGTGCCTCCGCCTCAGTCCACCGACCTTGTTCCTGATACGTCAATGCCAGATTGCCCATGGTGGTCAGCGTGTTTTCATGCTCGGCTCCTAATACTCTTTTTCTTATCTCTAGCACCTGTATATTCAGTGCCTCCGCCTCAGTCCACCGACCTTGTTTCCGATATGTCGCGGCGAGGCGATGAAGACTACTTAAGGTGATTGAATCGTCTGAATCCAGACACATCATTTGGATATCTATGGCTTTTTGTACCTTTTCCTCCGTAATGTTGAACCTCCCCTGATCGCCAGCGTAGGAAGCCCCGTTGTAAAGGATGTCCGATTGCTGAAGTTTGCAAGCTTCTGAGTCATAGGTGTACTTCAGGACAACTTGCGCATGTGGTTCCAGAGCTTCACATACTGTCCAGTTTTCGTATGTGCCTACTGGATAATGGTCCGAGATTAGTCTCAGAGCCTCTTCTTGAGCTTTCCCCATCTCTCCATATGCTTCAAGCCATTTCCTCGTTGCAAGCTGCACAAGTCGATGGATTGCGAACGCTTTGTTTCCCTTCTCTTCGATCACAAACGAGAATCGAAGCAGAGTTCCAATAGCCTCTTCAAAGTTCAGAGACTGATCGCCATCTTCACAGAACAGGAATTCGGGAATCCCTTGCCGATCAAGCATACACATGCATGATAAGAGGTCAGCTGCAGCTGGGTTTTGATCTTTGATCTGCGAGAAGGAAATCTGCCATGTTCTGATGACCGAATTTGGGACTCCAGGATCTCTTCGAAGGTCTACCTCGTTTTTGCTGAGTAGGTCTATCTGATTCTTCTCATCATGTCGCAGCAATTGAAGATACTTTGCCACCGTCATCCTCGAACCTTGGACAGTGATGTACGCTGAGGCTTGAGTGACCGCCAGTGGTACTGAGCCAAGTTCGATGATCAATTCTTTCTTTGCAGAGTTATCCGAGGGGTCTTCGGGCAACTTGTTGGTAAGTAATGCCATGGTATCATCCTCTGACATGATGTCGACCCGCAGCACTTGTTTCCGTCCTCCAGTGAGACGGAACGCTGTGCCCTCGTCTCTGGATGTTACCAGTATTGATCCGGTTCCTGTTTGAGGTAAAAACCGTGACAAGCATGGAGGTTCGATACTTGCTGCATCACTCTGAGTCGTGGGGCCTACAAGCGGGCCGAAAAACATATCTGCATCATCCGCGTTGTCGAGAATCAAAAGCCAATCACCACTTTCGGAGCTGCCCAGCCATTGAGACACCAGATTCAAAACATCGACTTTGGGGTCCTCGATGCCGGGGATCTTGGTGGCGGTAGCGATATTCCGATAGCTCTGTTCAAAGCGAGCAGCATTGTTGGCGTGGACCCAGAACACAGATCTTGCCGGCCATTTTTTTCGCAGTCGATATGCGTATTCAATGGCAATTTGGGATTTGCTTTCACTTGTCAGCGATTTCAGGACTTCAGGCGAGTAAACCATACCCGATACCGCCCAAACCTGCCAAGGCCATCCGTCGAAGAGATGTCGACTGGGAGAACCCCTCATCAAGACTCATTAAGATATCCTCACGCCCAACAAAGTCTTTGTCCTGCGCAAATGGCATCACAACAACAGCACCTGGTTGCGGTAAAACTGGCACTCGTCAGCAGGTCACGAGAATTGACGATTGAAGACCAGTGGACACACTTTGATGGGCTATATGTGTGCTTGAAGGTACTATAAGAATTACTAAGTTGAGCTGTCTTTTGGACTCTTGCGCATCACGCCGTACCCGTACCTTCCTGAATCTCGTCAACCCATTCCCTCAATCTATCAGACAATCGCGCATATCCGACTTGGGCCGGGTGATGGAATTTAGTCATGCTCATGTGGTCAGCAGGGATGGTGTTTGACGTGCAGGGGCCTGGAAACCGTGCCGAAGCAGGCTCCACGACACGCTAGATAGAGATCAGCGGAGGTGACTGGAGCGGAGTGCCATGTACACTCACGCGACCTAAGCCTTGTACTGGATTCTCTTCGGTACAACAATGAATCGCTAGAGACTTCTTGCCCTGTACTTGCCGTCCGGTGATCGCTTTCATGAAAGAGTCCTGGATATCAGCTAGAACTTCAGAGTCTTTTTTCAACACAGCAATGTTGCTTGTATTGGGATTTTTAACCAAACTGAGTTTGATGATGTAGCTTAATGCAAGAGCAAATTTGGTCATATCAGAGCCAGCGTGTGGGGTTCCTAGGAAGACGATGCCATGCAGCGAGTCTGAAAGTTGATGTTCTGCCTCGAAATCATGATTTGACAGTACGATGGCCTTGGTGAAGGTTAGGAAGGCGCGAGATATTGAAGACGGATACATAAGTCACGAGTACAGACAAGTGGACCATACCTGTTCACAGACCAAGCCTCCCAGACTGTGAGCTACAAAAATGAGAGGCCGCCGAAATGATGATGTTCGACGCCGAAGACTGGTCAAATCTCCGACGAGATTCTTGGCATGTTCGCGGACCGTGTTCTGTCCCGCCGGCTTGATGAAGTGGACGACGTCGGCGTTGTAACCGTATGTGATAATACGGGCTTCTGGTATTTTTTTGGAGAGCAGTTCTTGAGGCCACGGCCGTGCAGCTCCATCAGCCAGCCAAGTCTTTGTGCGTTTGCCGGTCAAGCCGTGAACGAAGACGATGCTTGATACAAAGGTCAATTAAAAAACCCACTTCACATTGAGATGTAGAAGCCATACTCGACGAGCGGCCCGTGGTCCACAGAAGGCTCGCTCCAGACTTTCGGGCCCAGGCCATCGGGGCCATCGGGGCCTTGGGAGCCTTCAGGGTCTAGCAGGCTGGTCCGAAAGTCAAAAGATGATTTTTAAGGTACCTTAAGGGGTCATTCGCGCGGGAGCTTACTTTGAGGCTGATAAACTGTCTGTTAATTCTCCGACCGTCCCCTCGGTCGTCCGATCTCCTCGCGAGACAGCGCGCTTACCTCGCAGCTTATCAATGATGCGAGACATGGTCACGGGAGAGAGTACCTTCGCAAACGAAGCGCAAAAGGACGAAGAAAGAAGGAAGAAGGAAGAAGAAAGAAGAACCAAAGAAAGGAGGGAATAGTTGTGCGAGGCTGAGGCTTATCGACCCCACTCTTGCTCCAATCCCTCGGATCGGATAAGCTCGCTGATCCTTTTCGTATTAGGCTTTCCTGTCAATCTATACTACATCCAGCTAGCCGCTCCTGCTCTCATCCCAGCTTCACCCCCTATCACTCCCGCAACTCGTCACGCAAGAAGCACACAACGCCGAAGGCTACCTTGACATCAGGTACTTGAAATGCGATTACATGAATCCCCTAGTTCGTTGGGGCGCGACTCGTCATCCCTTGGAAAGACCAAAGACCTGTACCCTGACAGTGTTTCACAAGACCAAGTACCCTTTGCGTCGGTCAGTTCTTTGTACAACAGACTTTGATAAGCAGAGAGTCTTTACAATGCAGTACTCTTTTAGACAATACCAATCAATGTGGTATTTCTGTCAAACTCAAGTGCCGTAAATGGGTCTCAGAAGAGTCTAGACCGATGGCGCGAACATCCTGTGCGACTGAACGTGGTGTCGTAGGATTGGGCAATGTTGCGGGCAGCGAGGCTGCGGGTAGCGAGGCTCAGCTCAGGCGCGAGGCTGGGTTTTCCTCCATGTTCCATAGGCCATGGATTCATGGAGTTTGAAGACTAATGCAGCGCTAAAATCTTACATCTCTGTCGGTGGATGACAAAGGCAGAAAGTGGAGAGGCCGAAAAAGTATTGATTAAGCGAGTGCCAACCGATCTGGTCCTGGAAGACAGGTAAATAACGCCAATCAGACACTTGACATTGGGCAGGTGGAGCGTCCTCGTCCTGCCATCGCTACCCCATCAATCACGTAATCTGTCACCTCAATACTCCCTACTAAGGGATCAGGAATGATATATTGGCCCGTGAATAAACTCTTCCTGAGCATCCCTTCAAATGGCAAGAAAAACATCTCTCAAGTTGCCAGGGCAATGGTACGGTTCTAGTTCGGCTTCTGATTTTGAAAGCGTTGAAAGTGAAGATAGATGGTATGATAGTGAAGATGGGTCATCTCCAGCACCAGACCTAGCACTCATTAGCAACTTATTTGAAAATCTCGAGCGGAGCCCGCTGGGTCAAGAGGCTCGTATTTTGCTAATGCAGCATCATGCCATGTGTGGGTGGCATGATGCGGCAAAGAAGGAAGCGCACCGAGTCTTGGAATTTGATCGCACCGCCAAAGAAGCCCAGAAACATTTAGAGCATCATCCCAAGGTGAGCCTGCGAGGGTGCGATGAAGCCGGGAACAGGAACGGGAAAGCGAAGTCATCCAAAGACGACATCAAGTCCAAAGAAAAGCATGGAGAGGCTACAGATCCCCAACGGCAGAGCGCTCAACCTCCAATAAGGCGACCGAGTCTCTTCACAATCACCTCTCCTAGCCGCGCCGCTGCAGGAACTTGAGGATGGCTATGCTGCACTGCTGGAAAATGCTAAGCTTTGCCTCAGTGAAACCAAGCTCTTGAACCACCTGGAGGTTCCAAACCGTGAAAACCGAACATTGGACCTCGAAGCATTGTCAAAAGGTCAGGTGAACAATGTGGTGAGGCCTAAGCCTCTAAGAAGTGTGAAAGTAGTCGCGGAGGCCATAGTGGTCGACAGCAGGGATGGAGGCTAAAACGGATTGAACGCTGCGGTGAAGGATCTGGAGGACTTGGCCAGGTGGTGCAGGAAGTCAGAAAAGTCCACGGAGGGTTCTGGCAAGGCCAAAAGCAGATCAACTGGCGACCATGACCAGGACAGAACTCGTGAAGCGCCGGTCAAGCGTGTGAAAGCATTGAAGGCTTTGTTGCCCAAAAGTTTGCAGCCACTTGCAGGTTTGGCAATGATGCATGCGGAGCACGAGATTCTTCATCGAGAGTACATCAACGATGAGACTATGGCTTTAGATGCAATATCCAGTATCCCAAGAGCCAACTTCTGGACTAGTGAAGATGGTTACGCGTGGGATATGGAGGACTTGGCGAGAGCCATCGCGAGTGCTAAAGGCGTGATGAGGAACCCGCTCAGTAAGCAAATGTGTTGGAATTCAGCATCTCAGCCCTATTATGCTTGGCAACAACTATAAGTAGTAGTACTCCTCCATAGAAAAACAACAAGCCGTCATCAATTTCATCAAAATGTTCACGAGGGCCGATATACGAGCGATCATTCAGCATCCTCTTGGGAAAGGGCTCCAGGCCTTACAGGTAAAGCAAAGCAAGCTCAAGCGTGGTGTACGGCCGCAGACCATTGACGAGCTTGATAGACTGGCGAAGATGTTACTGGTGGACGTGTCCGAAGATGGAAAACCAAGTCATCTCGCCATAAAGGCCTTCGTTTCGTACTTAGAAACGCTACCGAGTGGGGAACAGGAAGCCGTCGATGATCTGAAAGTACCGGCGACGGACAGTCACACCGGGATGGCATTCGATGCCACGACTGGCGGGGCAGTGAAAGATGTTGAGCGGAACAGAATATGCAGCCATAAGGCGGGTGACTTGCTGGTTCAGGATGTGAAATTCTAGAAGTGAGGAGAAGAGCGGGCGAATTGGCAGCTTTGAGAGACGATGCCAAGAAGGCCAAGCATACAACATACGTGTAGGATATGGGGAGGTCACGCTAGTCTAGATCTGGATCGACGGTGGCCGTTTTACGCACCCTCCGAGCTTCATCTTGAGCTCCGATTCACCTTGTCTTGTCGCTACTTTGCCTTTTACGGGGCCCAGTCCCTATTCCTCGCACTGAGCTCCCTGCACATGCTAGCCTAGCTCGGATCTGGGAGCAATTGAGGCAGATCTGGTCATTTATAAAAGGTCATCCTGCAATCTCAGAGGAAGTAGCCCCAGTATACATCATCTCTGCAGATTTCTTCACTTAGTCCAAGGTCCTGATTGAGCTCAGGGTCGAGCTTCTCGAAGCCAGACAAATCTTTCAGAGCGCCCACGAAAACCATACGCGTGTGCCATGACAGTGTCACAAGAGTCTCCCATCGCCAGACACTTTCGAAAAAGTACGCTGCCCAGTGGAAGGAGGGAAGCCACCTTCGTAAGAAAGTCTCGTAAGGATGACCTCAAGCTAGGAGGGTCGGGAATCTGGAAGAGGTAGCAACGGTGCTCAAGCGCGATATGGACTCGCACATAGCGCTGGCTGCTGTAGAAGAGATCCAAAATACGCCGATATTCACATGGTCGACAGAGAAGAAGTTCTAGCACATCGACAGTTTCCAAATTGCAGCGACAAAGGCCGACAGGCAACATGCAAACGTCTCCATGTCTTCTCCTTACGCCCCAGCCGAAGAGATTGATGAGGTGGCGAGGTTGTCGAAATGGGAGAAGTTGGTTCTTTACGGTGTAAGAGAAGGAATCCATGTTAGTTTTGAGGAAAGGCAGAACGGCATCGTCGCAATATGCGACTCTGTATGAGACCGCTGGGAACAGTCTCCGCGAAGTATCGGAGAGATAACATGCGGCAAAGAGATGGTCTCACTTCTTGATACATCATCATATCTAAGCGGCTGGTATATCTACAAGAGGGGAAAGTACCTTGACAGCCCGAAAGGGGGTCACGGGTCCAGTGTGGTTCATCCACTCATAACGTTCTAGCAACGACTCCTTTTCACAACTCCCTGCCCAAAGCCTTGACGTGAACTTAAGGGCCCACATCGTTTAAGAGTCTGTTCACTCGAAACTTCCTCCCTTCTCAGCAAGACCTTTCAAACCCTCATCACACTTGCATTTGCGATCCATTCAAGTAGCCCAGACCTATACCTCTCTTCAGGCCGTCAACATCATCTTCTCATACAACGACCGATTCGAGCAATCGAAAGCCTCAACCCATCTTCGGAAGCGGACACTTACTTCCCTCTCATTCGACATTTTACACATAATGAAGCATCATGGAACCCCCCTGCGAAGTCAGAATCTCACTCACAAGTGCTCGGTGTGGTTCAAGAATGCAAACCTCATCTGCAAAGGCTGCGAGGACACTCTAGAAGGTGCAGAAGGTCTGACCGCTGTCTATTATTGCGGTGCAACGTCCCAGAAGGATGGCTGGAACGCTCACGAACCTTCACAGAAACACTTGGACGTAGAAGGCGGTACCACACCTTTCCCAGATTTAACGTTCCCAGCCGCCAAGGACAAAAGAGCTATCTCGTCTTATACTCTCTGCAACCATGTCATCGCTTACCAACACCATCTATCACAGATATCCCGAAAGACATCTCTCGATTCTCAGCCGCGAAAGCGCTCGCCTGCAACAATGCTGACTGGACCATAGCCATCTCCTCCGCAGCCGACGACGACGCCGCCAGAGTCAAGAACGCACGGTTGATCATCAGTCCGATGCGCGCAGACTGTCTTCCTGGCCCAACGTCCTTCCTCCGGGTGGCTCTAGTCATCAACGAATGAAGTCTACGCACGCTTTGGACATGATGGCGGCACGGTATTGCTGGCTTGAGTCAGCAGTTAATGCCTTGGCCTCGTTTTTGGAGGAAAGAGAGTCGAGATCGTAGCGAGGTTCGTGGGTTTGGGGGAGAGGGCACGAGTGTGGAAAGGGGAAGCGTGGGCACTTGGCGGGGGGAGAATCCCGAACCGAGGGGTGGATCAAGGAGCAATTGGAGGAAGGGTTCGACCGTGACCTAAGGGAATGGCGGCGAAATACTATTGCCTCCGTAGCTATGCTGAGGTGCGATGGGGGGGGAGGAATTCAAGATCAGGCTGGATTCGCTGTTGGGGGTCATGTTGAGCGGATGGCTAGATTTAAGACTGATGTTATAAAGGGTGAGAGTTTAGAGGGTCGACCTGCCAGGCTGAGGTCGTCTTTTATTCCAGGAGAATTGTTAAGTTTGTTGCACAACATTTTTTTGCAGGAAGCCTTTAGCTGCAAATGGAAGGATCTCGGCCTCATTGGGGGATCATAATAGGAGTTTGCATGCTAGACAGGATGACCGTGAGCCATTACTGGGTCCAAGCAATTTTGCAGATCGGAATATCGACTATCCAACCTCTCCCCAATCTCATAGATCAATCTTCTTCCCAACTTTGTTCGGTGCGTTCGCCTCCCTCATCAAAAACGGCATTACCTCCACCCCACTGCCCGCTTCATGCGTCCCCATATCAATCACCATCTTATCCACCGGCTCCCATCCATGTTTCAGATACAGCGGCAATCCATCAGGCGAGGCTTCAATGTAGGTCTGTGCGCCAGCTTTGTCCGCATCTTCGAGACCCGGACGGATGAGCATGGAGCCCAGACCCCGGCGCTGGTAGGCGGGGTCGACGGCGAGGATGTGGAGGACTGGTGGACGTGAGCAGATTGCGGAGTAACGAGGTGAGTCCAATGCAATCTAGCGCCGTGCTTGGTTCAGATGGTCCTTTGGCTCCGAGTGCTAGCCGTCCGGCTTAGGAGTAGGTGTAACAGAGCTATGGAAATTGCTGCATCAAGGTATGGGCGCAGATTGCACCAATAGATCGAAACCTGGCAAGAAAAAAGTGAAAGTAACTCACAAAACGTCTTCTCCGGCACAAGCCACCTCTCCCTTCCCGCAATCAATTGCGTGAAAAAATCCTTCATCAACCCCTCATTACTCCCCTCTACCACCTTCTTCAGCCTATCCTCCATCGCCTTCCGCTTCTTCTCCGCCCGTTGCTCCGCCGTAAGCGCGTGAGGATAATCCCACTTCGAGAAGGCGACCGTTTTGCTAAACAGGAAGAGAATTAGATATTCATCTGACAACAGAGAAGAATCATAGAAAATGTCCTCGACAAGCTTCATTCGTGTGTCTAATGTGCGTATGGATAGTAGGGGCAGGGAGGGGGAAGTGGTTGTTACCGACCCAGAACTTTCCTCGACAACTTTCGTGAGACGGCCGCCGTATGCTGCGCTCTCTGCGATCTGCGTGGAGAAGAATTGGAAATCTTGGTCCCACTTCAGGCGGTCGGGGGTGCGGGGGTGGAAATGACTCATTATGTGGTCGTTTGCGAATGCGGATTGGAAGATTCGCGTGATGTCTGAGACATCTGCGGGTCCGACGGGTTGGAGGGTGAATGCCATTGTGGGCGGGCGTGGAGAGTTTGCGACTCAGAGGTTGTGGGTGGGAGTGGGCTTTGCTGGATGGGGTATAGGGACTGGTTTTATATATCGGCACGGTTGCAGTGAGTCATCTCGACATTAGGGCGAGCGGTATGATATCATTCTTGTCCAGTCATACCTTGCGCTTGCGTATCCACGGCTTGTTGTGGACCTGTCTAGTAGGGAAAATTAGGTGACTGATAGGTCTGACTTGCATGTAGGGATAGTGCCAATTCGTCGTAAGCTTCCACCCAAATCCATTGTATAACCCTTCGCCCTCGCTCTTGCCTTGTCCATCAGACGCCCATCCTTTCTTAGTCCCATCGTCACCTCGAAACTCTCGTAGCGACGCATTCGACTGTGCTGTGCACTATTCTATCCTCTCATCCCTTCCTTATCACGAGCATGTTGCACAGCCAAGTAACCCTCAGTTCCGCCTTCGCGGTCATCGGAGGTTATTCCGCCGCATTTATGAATTGCAAATTAAATAAGAATGCTTGGCAAAGCTGATTTAGCTCCGCCTCCGACTTTTTATTAGCGTTATTTATAGAAAATTATAGAGAACGTACTTACTACTCTTATAATAGTTATTATTATCTACTATCTTAGTTAGATATTTATAATATAGAAGCTAATAAATATATACGCTTTTTCTAATATTCTATCTCTAATTTAGACGTATAATAGTTATATTACTAGTCTTTACTTTAAACGCGATATTACTATTTAGAAAGAATTCCTCTATATACTAGCGTACTTAACTCTTATTCGAATTCTATTAACGATTTAAAGTCGTAATTACGAATATCTATTTTAGTATATTAACGACGTATTAATAGAAGCGAAATCTTACTATTTATAATAATATTATAATTTCTTATAATAGATATATTTATATATAAGAGCGATATCGTAGCCTCTTATTCGCTATTTTAGACGCTCTTTTTAATTATTAGCGTTAACATCTGTAAATCTAAAAAGTTTCTGCAAAATTTAAAATTGTTGATCGCGCGTTGATCGCGAAAATTATAAAATCTATTAGATTAGTAAATCTAATTAAAATCTGCCTAAATTCCGCCTAATTAGTAACTATAGTTTACTTTTCATACGCTATCCGTCGATTTAATAATTACTATTTACTATTAAAATACTATTTATCGATTTAGTAATTACTATATATTATTTAAATAATATTCGCTAATTTAATAATTACTATATACTATTTAAATAATATTTATTAATTTAATAATTACTATATACTATTCGAATAATTTTTCTAGAAATAATAATCGCCTTATATTAATATTTTATTATTTCTATAATTCGCGATATTAATTTAACTTTATAAGTCGAATTTAATTTAACTTAGTTATATTATAAGCTCGATTTAATTTAATTTAATAATACTATTACTAGATATTAAGTTTATATATATAAATTTATATTACTATAT